CCCCCCCCCCCCCCCCCCCCCCCCCCCCCCCCCGCCCTTCTCATCTTCTCCCCTCCCCGTGCTCTCTTCCCCCTCGTAAAAAAGATTGGGGGCTTTTTGCTAATAAAGATTGTGTTTTTTCGGTTTTTTTCCTTTAAAATTTTTTTTCGTTTGGGAGCTAGTGTTTTTTTGTTTCTCCTTTATGTCCAACTTCCTTGTATTTCTTGTATCTTCAGCATTTTTTGTGATAAGCCGATTATTAGCATCCAGGTTGACCCAAGAAGCCTAAATGGCAAAGGTGCGAAAAAATAGAAAAAGAAAGAACAGTATGAGAAAAGAAGGCAAAAGTGAGATAAGACGTTTCGGTCCATTAAATCATATACTCAATAAAATTTTGTTCCGTTTTGGCCTGTTTCGCCTGCGCAGAAAGAATCGTTGCCGTTGCATTATTGCCGAATTCTGCTCGTCGCATTTCTCCAAGTCTACCTGCGATTTGGCTATACATAACAGCTTCGTTAATATTTCGTATATTCTTATATAACTCAACGTATGTGTGATTGCAGGCGATGAGCGATCTGGGTAGATTCAACAGCAGTAATGTATCGTACAGTGCTGTGGAGGAACTAAATTCTACTGCGTACAATAATACGGCACTGAATATAACACAGTATTGCTTCCAGGACGATGATTTCTTCCTTGTCAAAGGTATTGAATTTTTTTTAAAAAATACCAAGAATAGCAAGAATTACTTAGAATTCTGTTTTAAAAATATAAACAGTGAATATCCCTGACGAGGAGACTGGAAGAGGACGGGGTGCCTGAAATCGTCTATGCGTTAACATATGCAGTTTGTTTGGCATTACTTGCTCACCAGCGTGGAGAGGAACACAGTCGAATTTTGATAATTAATGAAAACACTGGAAGTAGTACCATTTTCTGAGATGCTTTCTCACGTCGAGCAAAGTTACATTAAATCATCCAATCCTGAGTTGCACGCCTCCAATAGTACGTACCACTTGCTTGATGTTTGTGTGCCACTGCTTCGATGACTGTCGTGAGCGGAGCTGTTTCTCAAAAATCGTTCTGGACCCGGAGGGGATCGAACCACACCCCTCCAAGTCCAGACGCAATATGTTACCACTACACCACCGGCCCTTGTATACCAGTTTCAGCCTGGTAGCACATCTACTGTGTATCTGCCTTTCAAGACGAGATACCCTTTTCTTTTATTCCTTTCTTTTCTTTGTGCTGGTTTCTTAGCCGGCTTTTCGCAGATTTTCCACGGCAGTGACCACCCGAGCTCCGTTTGCTTTCTTACGGACATCACTCGCTAATGAGCAACTTCCACCGGTTGTCGATACAGCAAGGAACTTGCCTTTTCCGCTAGCTTTTACTTTCTCGCATGATCTTAATTTTACCCTATAGAAGTATAAAATAAAAGTGCGCTAAAATTGTGTAGTCCAGTTGGATCAGCAGTAATTCGTAGTTTTTTTTCTCAAGTATGCAATTGGCGACTTTCCCAGCGCCTTTGATCATTACTGCTTCTCCTGTTGATTGGCTTGCTAATGACTGTTTTGACGTTCGTCCCTTCCCTCTCCCCTCTCCCCGCCCTTTATGTTTTTCGGGATGTTGCCAGCTCTCAATGATTACCAACTTCCTGGAGAAGCACTTTTTAGCAAGATTTTAGCTCTTCCGAGAAGTCATTGGTGCGTGCTGAGCATCATCACCCTGTCCAGAATATCAGTGTTTCTGAACTACGATGAGGGACTTCAGTCCACTGGGAGATCTGATATGTATGAAAATATAAAAAAATATGTATTTTCATAAATAAAGACATGTTTTCTCAAATATAAATACATAAAATATATATTTTCACACGTGTAAACTTGTCGAACAACGGGACATGTGGGAGAATTTTAGAAGCATCACTAACATGGGATACCCACACCACAGCCTGGTCTTGGTATTCTTAGCACAAAAATGTGTTTTCGTGAAATTTCTCATTTAAAATAGTATGATGCTAAATATCTCAGTCAAATATGGGGGAATAAAGTTAGTATCTTTTCACAATCAAATATTTCTATTAAATTTTTTTTTTTTAGTGACGCAAGCGGTTTTCGATGATTTTTTTGAAAAATGTGCCGAATCGGAGGATACGGAAGAACCAGCGAACTTAGTCGCTCTCTTTTGTGAGGTACGCTGATTATAATGAGATTAATTGTTTTTTTTTTTTTTTCAGCCTTGTTTTACATGTTCTTTTTCACAATGGAATAGCAGTTACTTCATATTTTGTATCTGTTTATGGTACCTCATAATTTCCACATATCTTCTAAATTACACACTTAAGCCATATGCATAATGCTAGTCAATGAAGCCAATTGTAACAAACATTTTGACCTTGGAAGCCTAAACGACAAAGGCCCGATAGATTACAGCATGAAAGAACAGTCTGAGAAAAGAAGGTAAGAGTGAGATAAGACGTTTCGGTCCATTAAGTCATATACGTCTTAACTGAACACCGCACGACAGCAGGACCTCGTCAGTATGACGGCCGCAGTGCTTAATGGAAAAGGAAAAGAGGGAGACGAAAGGAAGAAACAGAAAGGGAAACGATATGATTTTGGGATTGGAAAGAGTGGGAATGCGGTGAAGAGGGAAAAGAAAAGGAAAGATTCTAAAAAAGAAAGTTTTTATTTTCTTAAGTTACCCAAAACTTCCACTATATTTTACCTTCATAAAAATTCGTGATATAGCAGATGTTTGAATGGACTGACTTGAGAGCAAGGGAAGGTAGGCTCCCGAATGTCGTTCCTAGAAGAATTCCTTTCAGATCATACATATTTTCAGATATGTAATGATGCAATTTCGGCGATTCGGAAAGTTTCTCAGAGACCCGAAAGAACAGCCGCGTTGAAATCGGTTTTGGAGCAGCTTGTTCACGAGAAGCAGGCCTACACCCTGCTGCTGAAATTGGCCAAAATGGAACGTACTGTTGAGGAGCTGAAGGTTGAAATTTTTTAAATTTGGCATTTTGGTTACATTTTATTTTACGGG